GGTCTTCATAATAAAAGCGAACAATATTAGGTACAAATACCAGCATGATACACTTGTGTGTGGGGGTGTTGAAGGAGGTACTGTGCCAGGAGGGCTAAAGTGGAAGGGAACATTGGGGTTGCAGATTGGGTCCAAATCGTGCAAAGCAAGCGAGGCAATCTATCCTAAGACCAAATGCCGGGTGCAGAGGGGCTTGTTTCTGGGTAAGAGAGATGTCAAGGAAAACCATATGCCATCTATTTTCATTTCCTTTCCAGTTGACAATGTCCAGGAATGTTATTTTGAGACTGAGGTGTGGTAGAGGCAGAGGAAATATGATAATGGAAGATGTTCAGCCTGTGGGAGGCACCTACCAGCTCGGGTGAATTCTACCCCAGGAATGAGAGAGAACTTCCAACAACATCGTCCAATCTCCTTGGCAGATCCAAGACAAAGCTTGAAGAATGTGGATCTTGCTTTGGAAAAAGGGGACAGAGTAGGTGAGGGAGCTAGTAAAGGTAAAGGTAAAGGCCCTCCCGTTGATCGTCGATTTGCTCGAGCGGGCCCAGTAACGTCTCCATTGGAGACTTTGTTGTTACTGTGTCTGGCATATCGAATACTCTCGGTAGCTTGCCGGGCTCTCCGAGAGGGGCGGAGGAATCGAACTCGGGTCGGCCATGTTGGCCGCTTGTAAGGCGAACGCCCTACCCACTGTGCTATCGAGGGAGCTAGTGGAACCCTAAATTTAAAAACTGTGACCTTCGCTAGCCACTGATTCAGGATCTCCCCCCCGCACATCCAGTGGTGCTCAGAGATTACTCCTGGCGGGGTTTAGGGGACCTCAAGTGGTGCTAGGAACAAACCTAGGTTGGCTGCATGCAGGAAAAGCACCCTACCCGCTGTACTATCTCTCTGGTCACTACCCAGGATCTTGATGTCCTTTGGAGGAAGATCTTAGGTTAGTATATAAAAGGGAAGACTCAGCAGGAGGGTCGGGATGTGACTCAGCAGAGAGAACTTTTACCACGCCAAAGGTCCAGGGTTTGATCCCCAGTCCTGCAAAAGGAAATAAGCAAATGAGCAAACCAAATAAATAAATACATAAATAAAAAGGGGATGGCTTGTGGGATTCTATAAGTGGAAGTGAGGGTCATTAGACCTCTACATGCATCCTATGTAAACATGGCAGATGAAGCACCTTGCCTTCTTCCAAGTCAGATGATAGGAATATTAGTAATTGGGAGGTTCTGGGAACCAGGAGGGTCAACAGTACAAGGAGGAAATGAACAAGGGGTGGAGGGTGGAGAGCTTCTGGAGAACTTGGGCCCCCCTGTCAACCAGAAGGATCATTTTAGGAAGAGGAATCAAGTTGCTGGGAACTTCTCAAAGGCCAGGGATTGGATCTTGAGGAGAGCTACTCACAGGGTCCAATAGTGAACTGGGGGTGCTGGCGGGGAGGGACTTCCCATTAGCGCATATGTGAATGTTAATCACTTTTGGCAAATGTTCTAGGACTGATTCAGTCACCACTGACTCTGAAGTCCCTTCTAGGTTTGAGATTCTAAGATCCTAGGACGGTGGACGAGTGGGCAGGAAGGAACAGGTTGGAAATACAGAGTGAGAGTGAGTGATGTTGCAACTCATGGAGGGGAGAAGGAATTGGAACAAGAGTTGGGGAAGACAGGTGGATACTTAGTTCTGGGGAGGAAGTTGTATCATCACAGAGTGAATAAGTAGCCTTTTGCGTCCTAAAAGCCAGGAGATGATCTACCATGGTGTAGGGGTGTCCAAGGAAAGCACCCCCCAAAGGTGGTTCAAATCAATCCTTTCCATAGGCGTTTGGGATATCAGGAAGGCAGAATATTTCTGGGGCTGGAGAAACAGCACAGTGGGCAAGGCACTTGCCTTGCACACAGCCAGCCTGGGTTTGATCCCTGACATCCCATATGGTCCTCTGAGCACTGCCAGGAGTAATTCCTGAGTGCAGAGCCAGGAGTAACCCCTGAGCGTCATTGGTCTGACTCAAAAATTGAAAACTAAAATATAGAAGAAGGCAGAACATTTCAAAACAGAATTTTAGTGATAGAAAGAGGCTGGTACACCATTTGACTCCACGCCTTCAGCTGGGCCCCAGAGGTGGGGAGAAGGGCCCTCAAAGCACATTCTGGGGTGTTTATGGAAAAGGAGAACAAGGCAGAGGTGAACTGGTGGAAGGGAGGAAAGGCATTGCGGACACATGGATTGTGATGGACTCTTGAAGCAGCTGGAGGTCTCTAGCCACCTCTGGTGGCTTTCCGGGGAGAGGGAGCTGGGAACCTGAGAGGGGTTATAATAGAGTTCATTGGGCCGCAACCTCCTGAGTGACCTTGTAGGTATCCTATCACCCCGGTTTCTTCTGGATTGTCCAGGGCAGGAGACTTATTAGTCTCCAAGATGGACTTTGCAGAAGAAAATCGCTCCAGGAATCGGAGACCTTGTCTGGGGCACAAAGTGTGTGTGTGTGTGTGTGTGTGTGGGGGGGTGTTCCATATTGGGGGGCGCTGGGAAGAGGGCAGAAGGGTTTGTAGAAGGATGGTGGCAAGAAAGTAAGCAGACCATGTATGTGGTTCCCCCTTTTCTTCCCAGGGCACCTGGGACGGGACCTGCTAAGGGCACCCGCGAGCCCAGCGACAGCCTCCGCCCCTCCCCCACTAGGTGGCACTGAAACGCCTTGTTCGCGCTGCTCCAAACGCAGGAAGAGACAAAAAGAATATGGTGGAGGGCTCCCCATTGGGGCTCACAGGCTCGGCTGCGCCAAGCGGGGTGCCAACCCCACACCCCCACGCCCGGCCCCGCGGGGCCCTTAGTGAAAACGAGGGGCGCGCTGCAGTGGCCAGCCTCCTCTCACCTGGAGCGGAGCTCTGGGCCTTTGCGGCGGCGGCCTCACGTGAGCCCTGTGGGGTGGGCAGCGGGCAGGGCTGGGAGGAAGCCAGAGCCGCCAAGCCCTGGGGTCCCGCATTACCTCCCCCAGGCCCCTCGGCACGGCCCCAGTTCAGCCGCCAGCCGCCACCCGCCTTAGCACAGACCTCACCCGGCCCCAAAGCGCGGGCACCCGGGGAGCGTTTCCAAAAGGTCTTTGAAGCAAGCCGGCACATTAAAATTCCTTTTCTCTCCTTCAAAGGATCAGACTAACGTCGTTCTCTGTCCCCTTGGTGCTGAGGAGGGAGGCAGAGGCTGGTGGAGTGTGTGTGTGTGTGTGTGTGTGTGTGTGTGTGTGTGTGTGTGTATGCGCGCGCGCGCGCGTGTGTATGTGTGTGTGTCTGGGGGTGACTGCCCCTGGCAGGGTCGGTGGGACTGGGCTGGGGGCAGCGGCCATCACCCGGAGGACGCCTGTAGCCCGTAAGGTAGCGCCTGTGGCTTTATTTTGGTGCGTGTGTAGGCTGGACCGCGATCCCAGGCGCGGGTGACTGCATCCCGGGGCGCGGGGCGCGGGCACAGCCCCTCCGCACACTGACCCCACCATCAGCATCCTTTCCTTTAAAGCGCCGCGGTCGAATTCAGGGAACTTCAGCAGCTCACACCCCCCCCCCCCCGCCCCCATCCCCGCCCCAACGACGGCCCAGAGAGAAGGGAGATGGAGGCAACATCCCTAAATTCATACCCACGCACGTAAACATGCTACATGCCACACACATGTCCGTGTGCCTAAAGATGGATGCGCTCGGGCGCGCACCTACCCAGACAGCACCGCCGTGCGTCGTCAAGACGAGCGGAGCTCAGACACGCCGGGCCTGGGAAATGGTGCAGTTTAGCTTTAAGGAGGCCAGAAAAATAAGAGATGAGGCTCACGTTGCACGGATGACATCACTAGCTTTTGGCTGCGCGCTCCGGGTCCTCGTCGGTGGGTTTTAAGCCAAGGCTGCAGCGCCGGGCGCCCGAGCAGAGCCGAGCGAACGGGCGAGCGCGGCAGCGGTTTCCCCCGGCGCCCGCAGCCGGGCGATGCGAGTGCCCGAGCCCCCCGGGCGCAGCCTGGGCTCTCGCCGGCCAGCAGCGGCCCCCCAGCGGCCGAGGCCCCCGAGCCGCAGCGCCTAGGGGAGGCGGGCCGGGCAGGGCGATCCGGCGAGCCAGCCTCCCTCCCCGAAGCCTCGCCCCGATTCCTTCGGCCAGCGGCGGCCGAGCCGGGGGGCCGAAGCCGACCTCGGGACGCCCAAGCCCGGGCGGGATCGTTTGCACGCGGCCGGGTGAGCCCCCCGCCAAGGAAATGGTGCAGTCGGAGCGCCGCTGAGCCGGGCCGGGCCGAGCGCACCGAGCGAGCGGGAGCGGGCGGCGCGCGAAGGGGGGCGGATCGGATCGTCTGGACCGGCCGGGCCCGGGGCTGCCCTCCCGGCCCGCAGCATCTCCCGCGGCCCCGACCCCAGAACCGGCACCACCCTGGGAGCCCGAGGAAGAGAGGCGCCCCGGCGGCGTCCGAGCCCACGCGGGGGAAGGAGCGGCGCCCGCGGGAGCGGCATGAGGGCGCGGGGCCGAGGGGCAGGGCCGGCGGCACGCGGCGCCCGCGCGCGCTGTCCATGGTGTTGAAGGCGCCGCCGAGCTCGGCCCGCAGGTGACCGACCGCGCCGTCGGCCCGAGGGGGCCGCCTGCATGGCGAGACGAGCGCCGCGCGAGTCCGGAGCGCGCGGGGGAAGGTCGGCCGAGGCCGTGCGCCCGCGGGGAGCCCTGCACTGAGCGCCCGGAGCCGGGGACCGAGCGGGGGGGAACTCGCTCATCGGCCCCAGCGCCCGCGGGAGGCGCGCGTCGCCGCCCGCACACCGCCAGCCGGACCCGGGCGGCACCCGGGAGGCAGCCGTCGCCGGGCGTCGGGGGCCCGCAGCGCGCCCCGCACCGCCCCCCTCCCCACCCCGCCCCAAGCTGCACCGAGACCGCGGCCGAGGGCGCTCGGGGTCCGGTTTTCTGCACCCTCCGAGGGCCGGGCCGCGCGCCGGGGCGGCGGGGCTTGGAGGCGCCGTTCCTGCCCGTCTGGCCGCCGCGGGAGGCCGCGCGGCGCCCGGAGGATGCCCAGGAGCCCGTCGGAGCCTCTCCGGATGAGAACTTTTTAGGCTGCCCGCAGTCCCGGGGCCGCGCACCTGCAGGCGGGGGCCGAGGGGGGCGCCGCCGCGAGACTCCCCGCTCCTGCCGCGTTCCCCACCCTCACCGCACCCGCACCCCCCACCCCGTCGTTACCCCCCCACCCCAGGGCTCGGCCGCCCGCCGCTTTGTTCCGGGCGCGCGGAGGGGATGCCCGAGGTGTAGGCGCCCGGCAGAGGCATGGCTGCGGGAAGGTTGCTGCTCTACACCGGCCTCTCGCTAGCGCTCTGCGCCCTGGGCATGCTGGCCGTGGCCATCTGCTCGGACCACTGGTACGAGACGGACGCCAGGAAGCACAGGGACAGGTGCAAGGCCTTCAACACGCGTCGGGTGGACCCCGGCTTCATCTACAACAACAACAACAACTTGCCGTTGCGCGCCAGCCGCTCGCGCCTGGATCGCTGGGAGGGCAAACTCCTGCGGGCCCGCAACCGCCGGCAGCTGTTCGCCATGAGCCCGGCCGACGAGTGCAGCCGCCAGTACAACTCCACCAACATGGGCCTCTGGAGGAAGTGCCACCGGCAGGGCTTCGACCAGGACATCGCCGCGCTCATTCGCAAAGGTAGGCGCTAGGCCCCGCGGCCCGCCCTGCGCGCGGCCGCCGCACACGCCTGGGGCTGGGGGAGGGGTCGGGGGCGCGGGGCGCCGGGCCAAGGGGTCCAGGCCTCGCCGAGCGCGGCCCAGCTCACCCGGGAAGGAGCGATGTGCGGCCTGACCTCCCCCCCTTGACCCCCACTCCCCGGCCTCTGGCCTTGAGTTATCTATTGGGGCCGCCCGGGGATCCAGGCCTTTCCTGTCCCCAACCGTCTTGGCCCTGGAAGGGGATCTGGCGGTCCTGCCGGATAGCAGAGCCAAGCCTGGGGGATGAATGGGTCGGGGTAGACAGACGCCTCCGTTGTCATCGTGATTGCAGACGTTGAACGGATTCAGCAAGGAAAACCCGGTTGGTGGTGGGGAAAAAAGCCGCTCCCCCGAGGCCTAGTGCAGGCCAGGAGCGTTTGCTCTGGCGCTGGACTCGCCGCTGGCGTGGTGCAGGCATCCTTCACACAGGCGTGGGGAAAGCAAAGCCCTGGGCCTGCCCTCCAGTCGCTCAGTAACACCCTCGTTTCTTATTTCTCCTTCGGAGAAAGCGGTGGACTAAAGGGACTTGTGAGCATTGAATGTAGCAGGGTTTAATGTCCCCCACCCCCAGAGTCGTGCTTGGGGGTCACGCCAAAGTGGGCACTTTAGACCTTCCCTCCTCCTCTGTTTTCAGAAGGGTTTTATTCGAGCAGCCCACACAGAAACAGTCTGTATTGGTTAATGACGATTTTTTTTGGGGGGGGGGGGATACTTGTGTATGATTGCATAGGTATGACAAAATTAAAATCTGCTCACCTGGGCCCAATTGTAAGTTTTGTGGCATGTGTACTTGGGGGAAACCAGTAGGTCCCACTCCCCCCCCCCCCCACATGCATCATTAGTGGATGCATATTCATGTTGGATTTCCTGTGCAAATGCGTGTCATGAACTTTGCTGGGAAGAAGGGAACATGTGTGTTCTGTAGCTGCTGGGAGACATGCTGTACTTGTCTCACTGTTGCTCTCTCCTCCCTCAGTTTCTCCCTCTTTGGCTACAAAACCATCGATGTCCAGGTCAAAATGTGGTTGTTATCTGCCAAGTGCTTGGGAACCAAGATCTGACAAAACAGTTTCTAATTTTTTTTTTAGTATTATAATGAAGGTTTGCTGCTGCTTAAAAATATTATTCATGACAATAAATGTGCTTGGAGCCATGAAAATGTTGCAGGGGATTCTCCCTCCCCCACCCCAATTATTCTATTGCAAAAAACAAACTGTTTGCATATGAATGAGTGAGGTGGTCCATTCGGATTTAGGGGAGGCAGGTCCAGAAATAAATTGCATCCTGGTCTTTGTTTTGTAGTTTCACTAGAACAACGACGAGGGATTTTAGCTGACTCAGTTACGAGTGCATGGATATGACAAATATGACATCTGTCCCTGCCCAGGTTCTTGTTAGAGCCATTTATGGCTCTGCAACTTTGTGAAGATGTGCAGGAAACGAGAGGGTTGCAGAGAAAGTCACTTGGGTTTGGATTTGGAAATAGGAAAAGGAAATTTAAGGAAAAGTGAAATGGTTTTTGATCCTGGTGATTTTAGAATGCTGTTCAGATTGTTTGATTGATACAGTAATCAGCACTTTTTGCTTTTCACTAAACGTGGAGTGGAAGGAAGTTAAGCGTGCATACAGGAAGGGTTGGATGCAAATGGTGACTGACAAACACCAGTAGGACTTGGAGACGGACATGCTTCAGTTTTCCTTTCCTCAGTGTCCTTTGGAACAAGTAAGTTGTCCTGCTTTCTTGTATCGGTCAGGCCCAATTGGAAAAAAGGGCACAGAATTCATGGCCCCCTGAGGTTTCAGCAAGGGCTTTGCTTCCATGTTGCTCTGCCTGGCGATGCCACTAGAAGGGTTGACTTGGTCTGTGCACCAGAGGGACTGGTTGCCATAGTGACATGTTCTTCCGGTGAGGCTGGAAACACAGTGACAGAAAAAGGGATTGGGAAAAGAATGGACAACATTTTGACTTTGTATCGACTGATTTTTAATTGCTGCAACAGAAAATGGGCAGGGCACAGCAGGGGGAATGTAGGCGCTGACAGCTGGAGTTGGCAGGGCATTGTATTTCATCGGAACTAATGGAAATGCTGTTCGCCATCATCCAACATCCAGCAGTCACTGTCAGTGGCGAGTGCCCACTGACCATGGCTGTCTCTGCCATCAGACATTCTTGCTGGGTACTATGGAGATAGATGGCGTGCCAGACTTACACATCTGGAGAGACTTAAGATCACTGTCTTCATTTTTAACCTCAAAACATCACCCTTGAAAGCCACATCTTCCTCGGGTCAGCAGCAATAAGAGGGGATTTGGAAGCGAGTGCGCTTCATTTCAGTAGAACTCATAAACAAATCTTTAATAACAATGTAATTTTGAGACTTCATTAGTCTTCCTATATGGGTAGGTTTTATAAGAAAGTTAAAAAAATGAATATCCAGACATTTTAAATGAGGGCATCTTAGGGAAAGAGATTTATCTCATAGTATTTATTCAAAGCTGAAGTTTTTTTTGGTTTTTGGGTCGCACCCGGCGATGCACAGGGGTTACTCCTGGCTCTGCACTCAGGAATTACTCCTGGTGGTGCTCAGGGGACCCTATGGGATGCTGGGAATCGAACCCGGATTGGCTGCATGCAAGGCAAATGCCCAACCCACTGTGCTATCACTCCAGCCCGCTGAAGATATTTTAGACATTTGGTGTGTGTGTGTGTGTGTGTGTGTGTGTGTGTGTGTGTGTAAAAGTAGCGTAGGTTAAAATTCTTGGAGATACTTGTTGGGTGAAGGGAAAAATTCTTGGGGATCCTTGTTGAGAAGGGAAACTAGACTGTTGAAAATCCATTAATATTGTGGGAGAATCAGAGATTTATCTATATGATCATACAGCTTCAAAGAACTCAAACATTTGTTAAATTAATGTTCATTACACAACAAAGTGCTATCTTATTTATCTTTAAAAAATCCCACAATAAGAAAACAAAATCACATCTATATCTGATATGATTCTTTCTTTGATTAATATCTCTATCTGAAGGTACAGTCCTATAGATTCATGTGCTTTCTGAAATCTGGTCCCCTTCCGTGTGGAGGTTCCTATGAATATGCATTTCTGATCATTGTGCATTTGTGGGTCTCATTGAACTCTTAGTTCCTGGAGGGCAGGAAAGATAATCACTCATAAAACACATCTACCAGATGCTGGGTCTTTGGGAAATACCTTATCCAAATTAGGCTCACAGAAATCTATTCATCAGGATAGATTCTTGATGGAAATCTATCCATCGGGAGTTTCTTCCAGTGGTCGGAAGGAGCCCTTGTGTGGAAATCCAAATAAAAGATTACTCGAAAAGTTGTGATGGAAAACAAAATGAGCTGGTGTGACTCTTGGGGCAGGTTAATATTGCAACAGCTGCTCGTGATTTATTTAACAGGGAAGATTTCTCAGGCAGGAATAAGGGAAACATTTTTTTTAATGGCAACATATCACCAAACAGGCTCATGTCAACCACGGTATTTATTGTTCACTGTAGATAAGGTTTGGATTATTTCCTTCTTGGAGGTAGGATTGGGCAGAGGGGATGGCAAGGATAAATTACCCTTGAGTGCCTCCGAATCAGGTCCTCTGTCTTCTCACTTTTCAGCCTCATCCATGTCTCCCTAGTAAGTCACTGTGAGTACTGGCAGAGATCAATGACACGATCAGTTTCTGAAATTCAAGTGACTCACAGACCCTTAGCAGAAGCAGACACAGGTAGGAGATTTTGTTCCAGGGAACTTGAAGGGAGTCTGTGTATTCTTTGGTTTGTACAGCCAAGTCATATTGATGTGGCTTGAAATAAACAGACCTTCATTAGAGACCCTAACAACTTAAAAACTATTTGAAAACAGGCCTTGGAATAGACTTGGACTTTTTCAGTTTTCATAATCATGGATTTTTGTTCAATATAATGAAGCTGAGGGGATGGTAGGCCATACCTGGAAGTGCTCAGGGGCTGCTCCTGGCTCTATGCATAGCTGTGAGCCCTGGTGGTGCTCAGGGGGTACCATGTGATGCCAAGGATTGACTGGGGGTTGGTCGGATACAAGGCAAACACCCATACTTCTTATGCTATCTCTCGCTGGAGCGATAGCACAGTGGTAGGGCGTTTGCCTTGCATGCAGCCAACATGGCTGATCCGAATTCGATTCCCCCGCCCCTCTCGGAGAGCCCGGCAAGCTACTGAGAGTATCTCGCCTGCACGGCAGAGCCTGGCAAGCTCCCCGTGACATATTTGATATGCCAAACACAGTAACAACAAAGTCTCCAATGGAGATGTTACTGGGCCCACTCGAGCAAATCGATGATCAACGGGAGGGCCTTTACCTTTACCTTTACCTTATCTCTCAGGCTCAAAAACGTTGTTCTCATTGAACGTTGCACATATTCACAATTTAATAATGCACTCAGAAGATATTTAGTGCTCATGTATTCTGTTGTGGGCACCCATTGCTCAGAAGAAGGGATGAACTGGGTATGTCCATTATTCCCAGAGTCTGTTAGCCTCATAGAGAATAAGTAACCACAGGACAGGGAGCCCCACTGAAGCACATTCAGAGAAGCACAGGAAAGTGCTGCCTAATTGTGTGTTCTACAGGGTAAGGGGAAATGGGAGGTTGGGAGAGGTGCCTAGAAGGCATGAAATCAGAACAGGGAGGTGATAAAGTTTGGAGATGGTTGGAAGGAAAGATATCTGAGGCAAGGCGGTTGAAGTGTGCAGGGACACAGACGGATGAATTAGTAGTCAGACCTGTGAGCTTTGACTTCTGGGGTGAAAGAGAGACATGGACCAGGCAAAGGTACATGTGCACTCAAGTCCCCCATAGCTGTGCTGCCTGGCCTGACTGCCGTAGCCAAGTGGTTCCATCCTTAAAGGGAAAATAAAGTAAAAACTGTCCTCTCTCCCAA